GAACTACTGAATTTATTCCTTAATATTTAATGAATAAATAATGAGATTGGTTGCATCAAATTGATATTTGATAGAATCTAATATTATATGGGTTTACAATAAAGATTGTGACTTGTGACTTGTGACTTGTGAGGCATCGTATATGGACAACTAAGTGAAAGACAATTGCATATTCAAATATATTAACTATTTATCTATGCCATTATTCAATCTACTAATTGATGCCTTTGTTTTTAGCACATTGTTTAGGTACCTTTATAGGGGTTATGATTAGTGCATATTATATGACATAATTTAGGAGCGATTATAATTTCACTTTAAGTGATCAAGGAAAAAGTTAAGAAACTAAACTCATTAAGTCATTATATCATTTTGAAGTTGTCTCAGTTCATTGTATTTAGTTTCATGTTACCCTAGGTAATTATTATTCTTTGGAGAACCTGATTAACCATTATAGATGTCATCCTAAGCTTTCTAGGCCCAGACGTCTGCACCAAAATATTTTCAAGTATATTTGGTGGCCAAATAGAGTTGAATCCAAAACTGGGGACAAGCACATACTCAACATTTTCTCAAACCATTGAGAGATCACCACTTGGTTATTGAATTGATATCATTAAAATTTCAAAAATTATGAACGGATTACTAAATTTATTTAAAACCAGATCTTCATCAAAAGGGAACAAAAAAATGAGTTAAAACCTAAATTCTTTGAAAGTTAAGTAGTATTTATTTGATCAAAACTCAAAATCAAAACAATACCAATCAAAAGCCATCCATTTTCGAATAGGTTTGACTTTGGATACTAATACTGAAATCAAAAATTTTAAAAGCCAAAAAATAAACTTTAAACCGAACTTAAACCCCCAATTGAACTATGCTAGCTATTCGACTGTATAAAATGACATTTTTCTAATATATATGGTGCTTTTTTTTTTGATAAACTAGTGTATTCAAATGTTTTCTAGGTTCAAGACTAATCACTAGCGACCTAACAATCGGGGTACACGTCAGCAATTTGCTGATTTAATCGTAGAAGGATGGCCAAGAGGATTCGAACCCAGGGCAGTAGGATATATACCCATACTACTGGAATTCCCAAACCACTGAAATACGACCGCTTAGTTTACATGGGTGCTTGTGTGTGTGGAATTAACTTCCATTTAAAAATAAATAAAAAGTCCGATTGATTCAGACGAATCTAGACTTAATTATTAGGAGATTCATTGCAATGGTTATACAATATGAAATATATTTGCTGGTTATACATTAATAAAATTTATAACATTTTATTGCCACCTCTAGATCATAAACACATGCACACAATTGTTGATTGTTCCTATAAATATGACACAGGAGATTGTCGTCAAGAATAAAAAAAGGTTTACGTCCGTCCAACACTACACCAATGTAGCTCGATGAGAGCTACATTTACAGGAGAACGCAATATTTTTTTTTTTTTACCAACAGGAGAACGCAATATTTGGCGAAGGGATCCATCTTTTTCACTTAAATTTTACTATACTCTTCGAGCTCATTCTGTAATCTTTAAAACATATCTCTTTTCAATTCACCAATACAAATCCAATTTCTCGATATTTGTTTTATACCTTGGTTTGAAGATAAATCTGGTTTCTGTTTAATTTCTTTTGCAGAATCTGAGATTTAGCCTATAATCGAAAAACTATCTTTCAATACGCGTACAAAATAAAAAAAGTCCAGTTATACATACATATCTCTACCGAATTGCTATATACAATCTTTGCACCAACAAAAATATGTACGAATCATTGATATGTTAAAATATGGATTTTAATTTATGTAAAACAATTTGTCGGGCACTTTGCTCTGATGCTCTCTTACCTAACTTGCCAACAAACACCAGCATTATTCTTTATGTAACATCTAGCTATGACAAATATAACATCACAAAAGTTATATATATATATATATATATATGCATTATCTGTCTTTTTCAATGAGACACACACGCGAACACATAAATATATATAGCTGATGCATATATATATATATATATTATATCGATCTCCAACTTTGATTGGCTTTTTTTAGACAACTTTGATTGGTGAACTAAAAAAACATGTACAGTACGAACAAAACGTTAGTTTTTAGTGGTCAGAATTACTGTAGCAGCCCGATTTTTGGTTAACCAAATATCGGATGTTACCAGTTCCTAATTTCGGTTTTATTTAAATAAACCATCTCTATTTCTTTTTCTTTTTATTTTCTTTTTATTTGGGTTTTTCCTAATTTCTCTCTAAAAGCCCATTAAACCCAACCCACTTATTTTACCTCTATATAAATACCTAATTAAATCCCTAAACCCTCATTAAGCTCCTAATCAACCCTAACCACCTTTTTCTTCTCTCTTTCTCTCCTCCCTGCGCCGAGTTGCTCCCTTCCTCTCTCTCTCTGCGTTTTCTTCTTCTTCTTTCTCTCTCTTGGCCGTGTCTCTCTCTCTCCTTGCCGCGGCCGCCGCCATCCTCCAAGCCTCTCTCGCCGCCGAAGCTTCCTTGCCCAGCCGTGATGTCTGCGCCGCCTCCTTCTCCTTTGGGTGAGATGGGAGCTGATTCTGATGGATCTCCTCTTAGATCTCCTTCTCCTTTGCCTCCTCCTCCAGTCTCTCAGCCTTCTAAGCCAAGGTGAGGGCTCTGTGGCTTCATCCTCTCTTACATATGCATGGTTGACTTTTAAGTGGTCTTTTCTTAGATCAGGCTTAGATCTGCTTGTTAGGGCTGTTAGAATTGTTTAGGACCTGGATCTGTGTTGCCTGTTTGTTGATGATTGCTGGTTGCTGGTGGAATGAGATAATTAACCTGAACTTGGATCTAAACTTATTGGACTTTAAAATATTGATTGTGTGATGTTAACCTGATTAATGTTCCTTTTTGTTACAATTGGTATCACCGAAAGTGCATCTTAATAATGGAAGGACCTTTAAGAAACGGATGATTCTTTGAAATGGATGATTGTGCATATAGATCTCTGATAGGACCCCTGGCTCCTGGAGGCAGGAGTCAGTGTTGTTTGTTGGCTATCGCTGTCGTGTGAGGCACGGCTAGAGCCATCGCTGGAGTGGATTAGCGATCCACTGTTTATTGAGCCGTCCAAAGGGACCGCTGGGTACAACTTTCTGGTGAGACCGCTATGAGCAGCCGTCTGAGTGACCGTTAGTGTCATAGCCTGTCTCGGTGATTGCTGTGGATCAGTCTGTGTGACTGGCAGAGTGAATCTGACTAATGGGTATGGTAATAGGCCAGCCATTGGATGGGATTATTCTGGTTGCCTTTCCGGGTGAGGCATGGGGGGCCCATGTGGCAGCCCACTACTGCTGCGTCCAGGGACCCGTTGCTTGTGTAGTTGTTTGTAGAGTTACCCTTGAATGCTGTGTGATTGATTGCTAGGAATGAATTGTCTATATATAAGTAAATATATCTATATATGTGTTGCTTGGGCTTGCTTTAGGATTAGATCTCTTAAAACCAATTTATGCTAGTTTGATGATGTTGTGGGCCTCCTTAAGGTCCACCCTCACTGAGTAATCCCAATTACTCACCCCTCCTCTTCCCTTGTCTTTCAGGTTTAGTAGAGAGATCAGCCTAAATCTGTGTTGTTGATTGTTACCTGGGCGTTTTCCTGGCAATCCTGTGTGCACCAAATCGAACATTCTACCGGACGCAGTTCGATGGCCGATCTAACATACCCGGTTCCCCGCTCTCTTAGGAGCCTGGGATAGGGATGTTACAACTACTATGATAAAATATAAGTCATGTAACAAGAGTAGATCAAAAAGATTCAAGTGGAGAAAAGCTTAGGGGTGTTATTCAATCAGATTTTTTAATAGAATTTAAATTCAATCATAATCTATTGTTACTCAACTAATGATTCTAAATGATGTTTTAAAATCCAATGTTATTGGATCTCTTCATTGTAAATCATGTTTAAGAGATTTTAAAGTTTAGTGTTATTCAATGAAGATTTCAAATCTTTCACAGAAATCTAGTGTTGTTCAAAACTAAATGACTTTTAAAATCTTTGTATATTATGTCATTTCAAATCAATTCCAATAGAGTTTTATGAGTAAATTATCAGAATCAAAATCCAATGTATATTACAGAGATTTTAGAATCTAAACAAATGAATCTATAAAACTGATATCAAATTCTAAATCTAAAAGATTATAAAACCTAGAAATTTCATTTTAAATTCATGTTTGAATAACACCCCCTTAGTAAAAGTTGATACTATGAAACTAATTCATGGTGATTTATTGATTGAGAATTTATGCTATTAGTTAGGGATTAGGGTTCAATTCTTCCTTTCTACTGTGATTTAAATCATGGTTGGACACTTGAAAATGTCTTATTGGACTATTTTTTATTGGGCTTTCAATGGTTAGATTAATCTTTTACATCGCTTAATTGTAGTGTGTACGTAATCAGGTTTCATCAAGCTTGAACTTCCTATTCAAGTGGTGTAGAAAAAGTTTAGACCATGTAGGAGACTCATTTTGGGTCTTTCATCAAAAAAATAATTAATATTTTAATCGAATATGATTTTATGATTAAAATTTATTTTCTTAAAAAATTTTGAACCAATAATAAAGTGACACATAGATTCAAAAGTCTCATGAATTTCTCAAAATCTTTCATATGAGAGACTCATCTCATTTTCTCTCTTCTCTTTTAATAATTTTTATCTTATTTAATGGTGAGAGATTCTCTAAGAAACTCCCACTGCAAATGTTCATAGATATTCAAGTGGTTTGACCAAAAAAAAATGTTAAAAGTGGAAGACTGGGAGATTAAATAAAGTTTATAATGGTATTGTGTTTAAGAAAATTGTTTTAGATTTTAGATGTAATTGAAATACAAATATAATCTTAAATTAGAATGCTCAAAAACATTAAAAAACAATTGATGAAAAAAAAGTCTTTTTTATTCAATGGAATTCGAGAAACGAAAACAGAGAAAAGAACATTGGTAAGTAAGTACTAATTCATAAATTCTCAATATATTTAACGAAACAAAAGTCTTTCGTCTCGTTTTTAAAGTTTTCACAAAACTCAACATCCTTCCCAAATCCCGACCTTAAACATGTACATAAAACGCAACAGAGAACGAGAAAGAGTGAGAGAGAACATTGTGGTGTGAAAATTATTAATCTCAATGTAACTCAAACATGTAAATGAAAAAAGAGAAAGGGACAAAGAGGAGTGGGTGTGAGCTTGTGACTTGTGAGTGATTTCTTGTAATTCATTTCCGGTTAGATATGACCGGCCCAGTTTTGGGAGCTATCGACTCTAGGCATTTTGGTAGGCTCTCTCTTAGTCTCAGCATCAACCTTGAAAGTCGCACCACACACATCTCCTGAACTATCCACCCTCGGCACTGGCTTCAGCTCGTTCTTCGGGTGCTCGTAGCTCCTCAATCCTCCCGATGATGTAAAGAAGCAACCTTCACAACACCAAACCACATATATAATAACCCATTTAGCCGCAAAACCAATCTAAGAGCTTACTTCTTCTCTTAAGAAGTTTTTAGCAAATTGCTCTAAGCTCTACTCATTTCGTGGAAGCATAAAAAAAAGTATTTGGCTGAGTCCCAATCACACAAAACAACCAAACGCCTTGGAAAAATTCACTCTTGCGTTCAAAGTCTAGCTCTTTTTGTTAATGGATTGATCTGATAATCAAAAGCTTTTGTACCCATGTTCTAATGGATGATTCTACTTATATAATCTTATACATTTGGGAGTAAAGTTTGGTTACCTTTAGGGAAAGGACTGTAAGATTTGGAGCAACCTTTCTTCACCATCTCTGTGTCATCAGCAAGAACAAGGTGACCTTCAGCATCGGTTCCCCAGAAGAACGGCACACTCCCATCAGCGTCCTGCGCATCGAACAAAACAAACAAATCCCAATTAACATTCGAGACGAATAAATTAGAAGATCAAGAAGAAACGTGCAGATGCTTGATCAAAGAAGATCAAGATCAAGAAATGTGCATATGCTTAAATATCTTACAGAAGCAGCGAAGACGGTGCTCTTGGTGCCATCAAAGAGGATGAAGGAAAACTTTCCATGGAAATCTCTGACGACTTTGTCTACAGGGTAAGGGCCTCGATCACGCAAAGTCCTGTAAGCTTCAATCACCATGATGGCCTCGTTTGTGATCTTGCTCAGCCCATACTGTTGTCTCAGAAACGGAAGGTTATCAATGTGTCCTTGGAAGATGCAGAAGATATCATCCACCACCGCAAATAACCTGTCAAATCGGAAGAAGAAAACCTAAAAAATTAACATTACCAAAAGATAACTAAAAACAAAGCAAGAGCCACGGTTACTTAAATCTAGTGTTTATATCTCATCTCCAGTTCCAGATTCTACAATCATCATCATCAAGCTTAACGATAAATCCTAGATCGCAAAGTCAATCCAAGTAAATCTTAAGCGAAAATGAGTTTATCACTATCGCGAATCTAATCGATTCGATTCCAGGAAACAGAAATCTAAGAAAAAACACAGCATTAACCACTACACAGATCAAAATCACAGAGATCAGAGATGATGAAAACTTGTAATCGAACCTTGGAACAAGAGGATCATGGTTATCAAGAGAGTAAGCGAGCAATCCAGATGATCCGAGGTTAAGCGTGACGGAGTTTGGGTTTTTGGAGACGAATTGATTCGCTAGATAACCTTCTTTCAAAGCGTAAGCAGGCACAGAAGAGTGTGGACTCTGTAATGCCTCAGGGCTATTCGCCACCGTCTTCTCGAACACAGCGAGCATTTTGTTTTCTCAGCGAGAGATTTCGATTTTTTTTTGGATTTGAGAAAAAGAAAAAATGGAGAAGACGAGAGAAAAATTGCAGAGACTGATTAGAAAAAGGAAGAAAGAGAGAAAGACCGGGAAGGCTATAAAGGAGTCTTGTAGGTGGTTTGTGTTTACGATTTTACCCTTGACTTTATAGACACGTGTCATGAATCGAGAGGATACTGGTTTGGATATTTGGTTTCCGTTTTATCAAAATTAGTAGATTTTGTGAAAGGAACCTAAAATTATCTGATTTCTTAATTGTTTGGATAACTGCTTATGGCAATGGTACTAATGATCCTGGAATGTAATTATCTGTTTTTGGATAAAAATTTTAATTAGCCGTTGTAAACAGTATATATGACTTAATTACATAGATACTATATTAAATAGCCAAATGATAAGATTATCCAGCGTATTATTTCTTTCCATTTTCTGTACAATTATTATAGGTTGATACAGATAATGCCACTTATTATTTACAGAGTTCTCACGTAATTAGTGAAACTTTCCTAACATAGCGGAATCATTTAATTAGTAACGTACTACAGTATAGAAAAATACTTTATCTGTGGAGAATCTCGTGGCAAGAAAGAGGATAAGATTTTAATAATAAAGTCATGAAAATGACGTGGCGAGTACGTGCACTCGATATTCTTAATTATAAAAAATAAATTAAATCGAGGAAAACCACATGGGAGAACAGAAAAGGCAACAGTCCTTAAGAAAAAGTCAATCTGACGGTGGATATGTCACGCTTTCGATCGAAACGTATAACCGATTTTAAATTAAAATATACTTTACGTATTTATTGCATCATAAATTTTTGCTGGAGTCATCATATGGGAAAATGTAATTATATACTCGAATAGATAGTTTTTTCTTTCTTTTCAGCATAGTCGAATAGAGATAGCCTTACATATTCCCATAGGACTTGGAAGAAAATAAAATGTTGAAACCGAGTGAGTGAAGGCCGAATCTGTATGTTAATAAATATCCAGGCCCTAGTTTGTTGGGCTTTTACTTCAGGCCCAAATTATTTGACTTTGTTGATAACCTTAATCGATCTAAGAACTCTGTATATAATTACATTTTCCCATACTAGATATAATAGTAGATGGTCAAAAAAAAAGCTGTCCTTATTCGATCTAAGAACTAAACCAACAAAACAAAACAGTTGTATTTCTACTTTATGAGTATTACTAAAATAATCTCACAAACTTAGAAAGTATTGGTTCATGGTTTATCCTAACATTGTGAGCTGAGAAGCTTTTGGCTTGTTAATGGAGAAATTGCATCTAATAAATACCAAACAAATTATAATTAACTATATAACCATATTAAAAGCATGGTTAGACTATTCTATATATCTTATATAATATGATAATGTTTACCTTTAACCAATCACAATCATTTATCATATTCTCTTTCTCATCTTTCTCTTTCTTCTTTGCTTTATTTTTTTCATTCTCCTCTTATTTTATATGCTTTATTTCTTGTTTTAGTATTAGAAAATATTTTTGTGTATAGAATGTTTATTTTTTTTTTGCAACGTATAATCTAATTGAACTATTTTTCCTTTGTTATTAAAACGTCTTCTTAAAGTTGTATTAGAACATCTATTTTGTTTGGGTCTATTTTGTATAAAACGCTCTCTATTCTATGATAGTTTGTCGTGAATATTGATAAAAGCATTTTTGTCCTAACAACATGTCAACATCCAAAGTGTTACTTGCTTAATTATGATCATTGATTATTGAAAATTAGTTATTAACTTAATTATCCCTTGTTAATGGATGGAATTCGATTTTGTTTTTTGCTTCCATGTTTTTTGTTGTTGTTGCAGTGGAACCATTTATAATACTGTTGTACCGTGTCATAATCCGATTTCAAATCTAGTAGTGTGTGTGTGTGTCAGTTACAAACTCAGGAAGTATTGATTTGGGCGTGTAACATATGGTTTGTATTGTATACTAAAATAAAAACTCCCAAAGTACTTGATTTAAATAAAATAAAAAACTATATCAAATGTTCCTCTAAAACACAGATCTCCTCACTCAACATGACACCGTTCCAAATCATTTCATTGTCCATTTCCATTTCAACCCCATCTTGTCTTTGATCCTCCATTGAAGCTATGTGAAGCTCATCGCCATAACCAAACACACCTCCAAGTTGATCACAATACTCTTCAGGCTCAGCTTTAACAAACGTTTCATGATCCTCAACCCCATCATAGCTTGAGATCATCTCTTGCCTTTGCTCTCGATTTTCAATTTCTTGCTGCTTACGTTTCCTTAAGCTCTGCAAGAAACTCGGTTTCTGAATCTTCTTCAGCAAGAATTCCATCATCATTTCTTGCTTCCTCTCTGTGATTTTCAGTTTCTCCTCCATCAAACGAAGATATGTCTTGACGCTTTCTTGTTTTTGTCTCAATCTCACTAATTCTGTTACTAGAGTGGCTTTGTCTCTTCTCATCCCCTGGATCTCTCGTTCTAGTCTGAATCTATTGTTTTCTAGCGACTGCGTTTGCGTTTGAGATGATGTATTTCTTCTCTTGATGTTCTTGAGGAGATGTCTCTGTCCCCTCAGAAAGTACTCATTTGCAAACTCCCATCTCTCTGTATCAATCTTCTTAAACCCCTACAAATCAGCAAAAGATATAAATTTATAATGAAAAATCAAAGATCTCAAAATCCGAGCTTTTTCCTAAGATACAATGATTAATTGATCCATCTATAATTGAAGAAATTATGAAGAAAAGTTACACACATAGGTATTGAGTTGTCTAACAAAGCTGGAGAAATTGTTGTGCTTAAAGTATATGGGGAGGCAAATTAGGGCAAAAGTATCTGGTTCCCAGACAATGAAACTGTTGTTGTCTCTGCTCCATGAAACTATATTGTTTGTGCTTGAATCCTCCACTATGTTGTAGGTTTTCGTTAAGAAAGGTGTTGGTCCTGTTTCTTTGAGACCCTCTAATGGAGTCGGAAGGTTATAACCCATTTTTTGAACAAAAGAAAATCAAGGACAGTGTGATTAGAGAAGGAAGAACTTGAGGTTGTTTTTTTTTACATACAAAGATTTGAGTAGTGGAGAAAAGGAGGGATTGAAGATATAGGGTTTTCTCAAAACTTTCCCAAAACAGAAATTTTTACGGTTTATAAATGTTGAAGAAGTGAAGGCGAGAAGAGAAACAGTTTATGGAAGGAATCGTAGCTAAGGCTTGACGATGCTTTTATGCTGTCTTCTGTTTTGGGGTTTTTATGGTTTTTTTTAGTAAAAAAGAGAGAAAATGTTTTGCTTTTTTAGTGTTTTGGATAAGTCTGTTGATTAGTTTACTTTGATGTGGACAAAGAGGATTTGCCAGAAATGGAAATGAGAGATTTTAGTGGCATATATTTATTGGAGGATGCTACTTTTGTCATCTCTCCAGATGAGTTATCATGAAAATCTAATCAAAGATCTAAATATTTGAATCGTCATTACAACAAGCTCGATGAGTTGTAATTACAAAAATAAAGTTTTTTCTACTGAACCCACTAATTAATGATATATTCTTACAAATGTAGTGACTATGCTTCAAACTTTTATAGACTTCGCTTTCGCATTGAAGCTCACTTGACACGTTGTGGTGAATGCATAATTAGGTTTTGTTTGTTTATTTGAAAGTCAGAATGATGGGATTTTTGGTGGAACCCTTTGGAAAGCCATGTATTTTACCTGTTAATATAGAAAACCCAATTTTTTGTCTGAATTTTTGCCTTTACAGATATGATATTCAAAGCCATGCCTTCATTTTTCTATGATATGAACCGAGTTTGCCATTAGGCTTATGTCATATGTTCCTTAAAAATCATATACAAAAAAAAAAAAAAAATCAGCTCGTTCTAGTAATTAAGTTTTTTTGGTTTAACCCTGAATTGGAAACAAACCGGAATTAAAGGACTATCTTTCAAATAACTAGAAAAAACAAAATTCACAAGTAGTTTTTTTTTATAACAAAACAATTCAAAAAAGTTGTTAAGCGGTAATTAGGCGTTTGGTATGTGTACAACGTCTAAACCAGCTAATCGGAGGCTAGACGTTAAAAAATTATTTACTTACATAACCTCTAATATCGAAAACTGAAAACTGGTAAGCGATTCGAGCTTGTTATATATTCACATCCATGCTAGATGAGAACTAAAGGAGCAACATCTCAAAGAGAAAAGGAAACAAGGAATATTAAACCATATTTTATAACTTGAATAATGAAGCATTCCTTATTATTTTTTGTTTTCATAATTTTTTTGTCATTTGACGTTGTATCAAAAGAACCAAGAAAAAATTAAACCATAAACCGACTGATTTGGCTGATTTGACCGATTAATCCTGATTTTGAACTCCTAAACCGAAAAACCGATATAGATAAATGAGTAGCTTGACTGCTGTGTTTTGTTCATATATAATTGTTGTTTTTCTTGCAGAAATTTTGTTTTAAAATGTTGACACTTGATACTATATTCAAAAGTTAAAACTTTATCTATATACTTTCTATTTTAGGTAATAAAAAAAGCATATCTCGCAGTACAACTTACAAGCACAAACTATTCGGAAGGAGCCCCAGCCTCTGTTTTTATTGGTAAGGAATAAACATTACATACAAATACACCACAAAAGCATTTACATAAAACTTCTTAATGAGCTTCGATGCTTTCTCCAAACTTCTGTGCTAAGCTCTTTATATACTCCTTCCTAACCGGATGTTCTTCCTGCGGCCGGTTATATGGTGTCCAAACCGGTTCTCCCACGAACAGCCTCATTAGCTGCAAAACCAAAACCACACCATCCATCACAATCCAACAATCCAATCTTTTTACAAAAAAGATGTAATATATTTTTCATCTGCGTTTTAGATACCTTGATGTAGTTGCTTGTGTCGAGTGTGAACCGGTGGTAGATACCGGCAGGAAGGACAATGAGATCTCCCGGTTTCATCCAGATTCGAATCCAACGGTCATCCTTGTCCCTAACATCAAAGTAGCCACTTCCCGCTAGGCAGTAACGAATCTCTTCGTCCTTGTGGATGTGTTCTGTGAAAAAATTCTTCAGCTTCTCCTCATAGTTAGTCACTTTCTCTGGACACAGATCCAGCAAATCCTAAAACAAAGATTGATTACAGGTAAATAAAAGTTGTGCTTATCAGTTTATGAGAATCAATATGCATCTATCTCATTGGTTTCAAAGACAAACACCGTACAAAATCTTTCCCTTAGCCTAGCTATAGAAGAAAAGGCAATATGTGATGTTAACATATACATAAATCTCGAATGGTATATTGAGTCACTATAGGATTGGATTTAGATGCCAGCCTGAAGCTTTATAACTAATTTACTCATAAGCTTTCTATCTTCATAAGCTGGTCTTACATTGTTTCAGTGCTACCCCATGGTTATGCAAGATTATCTATTCGTTTTTCTCATGAGATTAACTGAAACATCAATGGACTTTTATGGTGAGCATGAGTTAAAAAAAGGGGATCAGAGAGACATAATCTGCGTACCATGTAATCGTAACCCCTTGCTTCTCTAATCTTCCTCAGTTCCAAATCATCCTCGTAGTTCTCAGGGTTCAACTTCCAGTATAACACTCCCAGCTCTGCAAAACACAGCACAACTATAGTTAGAGGGAATTCTCTTAGATCTCCTCTTGTGTATATGTGATCATTTCCTTAGTTTAAGACTAATAAAAAGTTCAGTTTACTTTAGCTTTGTAATAGATCTCATAAGTGCATCTTGTAGAATTACAACTCAATACAAGAACAGACAAAGCAAAAACAAAATTCTCCAAACCATACATAAACTACAAACATCATATACAAATATACAAGCCAGATTGCAGTTTAAGTACGAAAACATAACTATTTACAGAATCTTTTTTTTCATGGAACGTTCCACATTGAGGCGATATGAAAGTGAATGTCGAAGAAATTGTTGCAAAGAAAGAGTAAATTCAAGCGAGAGATTTGAAAAACCTGCCAAGTAATTCACATTGAGGAGCTCTTTCGGGTTACGATGATGAGGAAGTCTCTGATCTTCATTGCTATCATCCATAAACCATGCCTGAAATCAACACTTATCTCAGAAAATCTTGGCGAAATCATCACGATTCTCTGCTCTGTCGAAATCAAATCTGACAGAGATTTTCTCGGAAACTCGATTATAATTCGACCGATAAAAATAATCACGATTCTCTGTTCTGTAATAAATCGAATCTAACGAATCAAATTCGAGAAGAATCATCTTCACGAAATCCGAAAGAGAAACTAGTATCACAATTCACACGAATCCATAACCATTAAACACCGTAGAAGAAGAAGAAAAAAAGCGAGAAAACGCAGATTATAACGAGGAAATCGAGTATCGAAATCGGACTTTAGAACCTAATAATCAAAAACTAAAAACAAATCAATACAGTGAAGAAGAATTAGCTAACCTCGAGAGCCATTACTGATCCTCGTGCCAAATGCGAAAGCTTCGATTTCAGAGACACATCAGGGATAATTGATTTAAGGTCAGATATATAAGAGCTTCTTTTATCCGTCGATGATAGCCACGTGTACGGTGTATGCTGATTCGTTTTAGGCTTGTTTCCACTAGATTTTTACTTTCTATTAATTCTGGTTCCAAATGTTCCAATTTTTATCAAATCATGCATAAAACAATTGTTTTCCCGCCACAATAATTAGTTTTAATGGAAATTATATTTTCTAAGGTTCATATATTTTGCCATCTGACTTCAACTAGAATGATCTACAGTTTTATTAAGGGTTCTATATTTCAGAACACTGAAAATGATTTTAACAAGAAAGAGAATCTTTAAAATCTTGGAAACCAATATAGGAGATATGTTATAGCAAACAAAAAAATATGTTACTAACTTAATATTCCATTATCTAATATTTCTATATCTTTTTATATTATACATTGTTATATTTTTATGTATATATATACACACATGTATTCTCATTCTTATCAATAAAAAGATATTTTATAAACTCTGTAGTGCAAACTTTTCAAAAATAACCAGACTCACATGTATCATGTTACTTTTGGTTATCACTCCATTCATGACATTATCATAAAAAAATAGATGGAACCTAAATCTAAATTAGTGTTTAATCAAAAGTTCAAAAATTAGTGAATCAAAAGTTTCAAAGGTGAAGGATCACCTCGAAGATCTATTTGGGTGATGGAAATTCGAAAAACGTTGATGATCAGTTTTAGTAGTGCACACACCATCTTGTACGCAAAAAATCATCCTAGCTAGGCTTAACTTATAAATATCAAAGCAGAGACGTTTGTGTTGAAGGCAATTGAAGAAACCCTTGTTTCAAGGGCCTGCAATTTTAAGAATGATATTATTTTAAGGATTGTTATGTTTAACACATACATGATTAAGAGCATTGTTCCTTTCTGAACGGGGCGGGGTTGCAGATTCCAAGAAATTGTTTTCCTTTTAAAAAGAAATCATCTTCTTCTTCATAACACAAAACCACTATAATATACTGACAAAGGGAGAGTGAGGATAGAGCCTGGACTCATATTCTCCTGATCCATTTGCTAGAAACAACACATCCTTGTTCTCTTAGTGTCTTTTCCCATGTATGTTTACACCCATATGCAAATGATGAAATGAATTCTACAACCAAACAATACAAATGAATATAGAACATATATTTGTATTGATCTGCCTAAGCATTTGCATATCAGAAGACTCAACCAATACACCAACCGATCCAATTGTATGGTTTTTCACTGTCCATTTGCTCTACAGTTTAATAGCAAAGGCACCAACTACATTGACATTGAACTTACGCCATGTTTTGACTAATAAACAGTTTCAACTTTTTTCTTTTGGTATAAGAAATTGAGAAGAATACACATCTATTCCACAAACTTATAGAAGCAGATATCAGTACAGCTGTACAGGGTATAAAAACAGTCATACTTACCGGTAAATGGCTTAAGGCGTAAAGCAATGATATTATCAACGCCCTTTGCATTAAAACAGAAATCACAAATTAAGAATCGAATCTACGAACCGATTACCTACCTCTGTCTTTGGTTCTCGTCTCGATGGATGCGATCTCTAGACTCCTCCTTTGATTCTGCCCTGATCATTGTAGGAGACTTCTGATTCTTGGCAGGTGACGAAAGACGGCAGTGACGGCTAGATCACACCAGCCTCTGTATAACAGTATCAGCTTCAGGTCACTCCGAGTGATCTACATGATCAGGAAACGGTAATGGAAACACATGAACATATTTTCGAAGAGGGAAGATCAATCTATCATCGAGAGCATTGGAACGGAAGATTTAGATTGGTATAGAATAAAACTTGCTTATTGGTAGTTGGTTCTAATGTTTTCCTTAATATAGCATTAATATCACATAATAGAGATTAGCTGATGTGGCGTATATAAAATTAGAAAACTGAGTTGGACATTCGCAGAAGCCTCAAACAGTTATTTTTATTACTGTAGATTTGTTTGATGGACCGTAGAAGACAAATTATTATATAAATTATGTTGTAATTTGTTATGTATATATCTTAATTATCTTTCTATCGACATAAAATAAGAGATATAATTACTGCAATAAACTTCATACATAGCGAAAATAGTATTTGCTTTCTTTATGCAATGGATAACATTATATAACACTATCAGACTCTGTCATAGTTCCTTATGGATTAATCAATATTTAGACTTACACTTTTCAAAAACATGAGTATTTAAATATACAATTTGAGTAACAAAACGAGTTCACAAAATCTTGGGGTATATTGAACATTTTTACAGTCAATTTTTTTTTCAAAGTCAATATAATTAAACATTGATCAAAATCCAGAAAGTTAAGTCTGTATATATATATATATATATATATATATATACATATGCATTTTTAGGCTTTATATGGTAACTAAATCAAATTAATTTGATTAACGAAGATTTAAATATTAAGTAATTAATATTTTCCTTATATTTTGCTTTATTTTGCTTTATTTTGCTTATATTTTGCCTATGTTTTGCACTTTTGCTTATATTTTATGAACTTATATGTTTTCCTTTTTCAAAATTTTATGAACTTATATTCCAAATTTTTGATAGTTATAACATTTGATAGGGTTGTAATCAAAAATATAATATCTCTAAATTCTTTAAAAGTTAGTTTTACACTAATGCTATATAAGTTAAACATACAGTCAATACTCACTAGTCAAAATTTTAGTTCTACCATGTAAATTGATGTTATGTATTGTCTTTGCAGATTTTCTATAAGATATCTCAATAACATTTGCAATTTTATATTTTATAACTATTCTCCAAAAAGAAAACAAAACATAATCCTGAAGCTTGTGAATTTTAGCAATGGATGACTAAATGCCGGTTGATATGCTCTTCACATACCTATATAAAAAAGTATTTAATTTTACTAATAACATATAGAATCAATGTAGATATTTCTTTCTCTGAACATATATTTTTTTCTTTTTGAATGATTTTTTATAAAATTATATTTTAATAATCTCTAGTAGATTTTTTATATTACAAAAACGACTATAATAAGTATTATCCCATGCAAAAAGGATTATGACGTTCAATTTTTAGCAAAAGTTATTAATTATATTTTGCTAATCTAGGGAATACATTTCTCTAAATATAAAGAAATTTACTGAATAGTATATATGAATACATATCTGTTAGTAAGCTCTATTGCAGAAAAAACGTATCAACAATTGCTTAATAGAGAAGAAGAAAAGTAAGCTAATGGCTTCTCTTTGGTTATGGTTACTTTCACTACTTTGCCTCCATGGAAGGTCTCAATCTATTCAAGTATGTCACAATTTTTTAGGTAATTTCATGTAAACTTAATAAAATAAAACAAATATAATTTTAAAAAATTGTCACATATCGCAGACTCAAGAACCAGAATTTGAATGCGTTGATATCTACAAACAACCTTCACTACAACATCCTCGACTTATAAATCATCATATCCAAGTATATGTCTATACTTACATCTTTGTGTCGAATTCGCACCTCGAATTTTTTTTCATGATCCTTAAATATTTTCATATATCCTGTTTTTTGCATGCGACCACATAGATGAGACCAAGCGATGAAGTCTTAGCCATGTTATCGATGGACTCATCAAAAAACTTATCAAACGATAAAGCGGTTGCAGAATTTGATATGCCAGAAGAAGGATGTCCCGAAGGACAAGTACCAATCCATAAACCAAGAAACTCCAATTACTCCAAGAAACGTTTCCACCTTAATGGCTATGGAACTATTGGTCAACATGTGAGTAACTAAAAAAAAATTATATCTGTAATAGATGATCCAAACGATTTTGATGCGTATACTTATTATACTATGTCGTATATATATAGGCTGCGTTAATTCATAAAACAGAAGGCAACTCATGGCGTGGAGCATCAGCATGGATTAGTGTTTACCAGCCTAAAGTGACTAAGGACCAATTAAGCATGGCTTTGATTTGGATCAACAGCGAATATGATGGCATACGCAACACCATCCAACTTGGTTGGGGGGTTAGAATTTCAATTCTTTTTCTTTTCCTTCAAAATCATGCTATATATTAGATCAATGATTCAAGATTCTGATATATATACATTTATTATTGGTAATTAAAGGGTGGATAGTAATTATTAAAATGTTAATCTCGACTTTAGGTAATTCCGCAATTATATGGCGATTATCGTACAAGACTTACTACATATTGGAGTGTGAGTATTATTACAATTTAATTACAAATATTAGGGTATTTCTTTGATTCGTTTTAGCATCTATATGATTTTAAATTCTTTTAATTTTCCAGCCAGATAACGATGACGAAGGATGCTACAATATGTTATGTTCGGGTTTCGTTCAAATCGACTCAACACTCTTTCTTGGTACCCCTTTTACCAACATCTCTGAGGTGGGAGGCAAACAATATAACGCCTTTTTTTCAGTCAATCAGGTATAACAATTATGTTTTTTGGGTTTAACTAAATCCTCACTTTGACATTGGTTCATTGTGAGCCAGTGTTCAACGAAAGTAGGGATATTCGTTACTTGAAATGGATAAACTGAATTGATCCAAAACTAATCAGAATTTTGAAGCACAAAAGAAAGTTGTACAAAAAAGGGTTCGAACTTATAATTTCTTGTTTTTTTAGTCGAAAAACTTATAATTTTGTTTAAATTATTGAAATATAGGTCAAAAATTTTTGTTAACGAAAATGTAGGTTAAATTTGATAATGTAAACCGAAATCAAGATTATATGCAACCAAAGATTTAGTTGCAATTTGGTTAGTATTATTCCTAAACCGATAATCTCGAACCAGAACACTCCTATAAAACTTGTGACGTCTCTCCCATCTTAGTAGACTCGTAGTCTAAGTTATCAATAGTAAAAAAACTTACATTTTGTGTTTTTATTTTTTTTGGGATTGGCACAAATGATTAGGATCCAAAAACAGGAAATTGGATTCTAACGTCCGGGAGAATCTACATAGGGTATTGGCCAGGAGAACTTTTACCGTTTATGGATGATGGAGCAGAAGAGGTTCGGTACGGTGGATTCACGAATGCAGAGTCCGAAAATTTGCAACCGTTCGATATAGTTAGTCCGCCGATGGGGAACGGGAATAAACCACAAGAGGAAGAAGTGGATCTAAAGTATAATTGTTACATGCATCATGTGCAATATGTAACACAGGATTATAAAAATGTTGAGATTGATTCTAATAAAGTCGCCGAGGACGCGGACGCTGGTAAATGTTACGATGTAATTTATCTTGATAACTTTGGCTCAATGCGGCAAACTTTTATTTTTGGTGGACCAGGTGGTTTTTGTGATGTGTGATCTTTGTGTTTGGGGACATTTGATCTTGAATCTATATAAAAAGATTATAAACATAATAAGTCCAGTAAATTGTAAAATTCAGTCCTTAGGCTTACCGACATATCGTCTTTCTTTTCTTGTTTTTATTTTGTGTGTGTGTATGTGTGACAATTATTCTCTAAATTTAACAATTGCAAATTTCTTTTTTTCTACTTTATTTTAAATGAAAATATGTTATATTATTTTTTCATATATTTGTGTACCATTTCTTATTAAGTTTCATATATTTTTCCTGACAGCTATTGAGTTTAATATAAAAACACAGTACTTTCTAAACAAACAAAAATAATAAAATCTCCAAATTTCTGTTTTTTTTTTAATAAATGAGAAATCTCCTATTACTTTTTTTCTAATTAGATTTCAGACTTCTTAGTCACTTCAAAAGTGGAAACAAATCCCACATAAACTTTATTTTCCTGCCTGATCACTGCTTATAATAATATCTCCAACTCATCTCACTTTCATGAACCCACAAAAAAGGGTAAAAAATAACAAAGAAAGAGAAGAAAAAAAAATGTACTCTTCTTCATCAAGAAACGCATTTGAGGATGGCAAATACAAAACAGATCTCTTAACCGTGGACTCATCATCTCACTGCTTCAGAACGACGCCGTCTTCTTCTTCTCCGGCTCCGCCGAAGGGTCTGTTGATAGCGACGCCGGTGGAGGAAGGAGAATATCCGGTGGTGATGCTCCTCCATGGTTACCTTCTCTACAACACCTTTTATTCTCAGCTTATGTTGCATGTCTCTTCTCATGGCTTCATCCTCATCGCTCCTCAGGTTCAATTTAATTTTTAAACTAATTACATTGATTAACGAACAAACTAGCCATTAAGATTACTTTTCAGTATTGATTACAATTTACATTGTGTGAATGTTATCTATAACTCACCTGAATGGTTATGGTATGCATGCTGCCACGTTTCACTGATGTTTTTGTTTCTGGAACTTTTTTATTTGAATAAATTATTTGGTTCTTAGACAAGAAGAAAAGTAAGAACAAAAGATGCAAATGGATGGGTCCACTTGATGTGTTATTCTGTTTTTTTGTTCTTTTTGTCTCTAATCATTAAACTCTCAAATTATCTAAGAATCATATAAATTTGTAATCAATTTCTTGGTTTTGTGATAATTTAATAGTTATATAGCATCGCTGGACCGGACACGATGGAAGAGATCAAATCAACGGCGGAGACAATGGATTGGTTATCCGTCGGACTTAACCACTTTCTTCCACCACAAGTAACACCAAACCTAACCAAATTCGCACTCTCTGGCCATAGCCGCGGAGGAAAAACCGCTTTTGCAGCTGCTCTAAAGAAATTTGGATACTCCTCGGATCTAAAGATCTCGACACTGATCGGTATAGATCCAGTGGATGGAATGGGGAAAGGGAAACAAACCCCTCCTCCCGTTTTAACCTATGAACCAAACTCATTTGACCTAGACAAAATGCCTATTCTAGTGATTGGTTCGGGGCTTGGTGAAACTGCGCGAAACCCGTTGTTCCCTCCGTGCGCGCCTCCTGGAGTTAACCATCGAGATTTCTTCCGGGAATGTCAAGGTCCGGCTTGGCATTTTGTCGCACAGGATTACGGGCATTTGGACATGCTTGATGATGATACAAAGGGGATTAGAGGGAAGAGTTCTTATTGTTTGTGTAAGAATGGTGAAGGGAGAAGACCAATGAGGAGATTTGTTGGTGGAATTGTTGTGGCATTTTTGATGGCTTATTTGGAAGGAGATAATTCTGAGTTGGTTAAGATCAAAGATGGATCTCACGATGGTGTTTCCATCGAAATTCAAGAGTTTGAGGTTAAAATGTAGGAACTAATTTCCTTAGGGGTTGGTTTTTCCTATTTTCTTTATAGATTAGTTGTTCTTTGTTGAATGTATCTTATGAAGTTATAATGTAAAACTCTTTACTTAAGTGACCTCTTTTGACTCATGAAATTAAACCGTTCACATTCGCAATTAAACAATCGAAACTTGAAAGATGTCCACGCAGTTTTCTTTCTATACTATAATCACCACAAAAGAAACAAAAACATCAATCTAGACCTTACCATAACTTACAAAACGAACATATTATGTAATTTACATATTCTTCTACTACCAAGATCTTACTTGTTTTAAATTAGACACTTTATACCCCCATTCTCTGTTCTATGCTAGAACAGAAAAAACCACCCCCAGAAAAAGAGAATACAAATTTGCCCCACCAGTTTTGAATTCATTTCGATTTTACCCCCAAGAGTCTAAGATTATACCTTAATTCAACATTTGTGTCTCCTATCAGAAGCAATAGAAAGAAGCATCGAAACACCTTGTGTCCAAAGATCATATTCCCTTTGGCTTTTGCATTCGAATTCAATCACCCTTTTCTCAACAGTCTTTAGCCCAAAATACCTTAAATTCTCTCCGCCCTCCAGCAATTCCCGGCCAGGCCACGCCGGTACTCCCTTGACCAGTTCCACCACCACATCTATAGTAGATCAATACATCACACATTCTTAGAAAACAATATGTTTTTAGTTGCAGACAAAATTTAAGATTATTCTCCAAAAGACAATGTCTAATAAAGTTATCACTAGACTACCATTACTTTGTTTTCATGACTCTAAGCTGATTAATTAATCTTTTCATGAAAGTTTGGATCTTTCTTTAACTTTACGATCCGATAGTCTCTTAAACTATGCCATAGTTAGTACCTTTATGACCTTTTGATCTGTCGGGTTCGTAAAAAAAATTAAAGAAAGAGTAAGAGATAAGCAAAGCATCACTATTTCACTTACTCTTTTTCTTCTTTGTAATGGTCCCAGCAACATGTTTGCTTTTCATCTTCAACATTACCTGCGCAGTGAAGATAAAACGCACAAATAAAAAACAATAAAAATTTCTAATTTTAATTTTAAAATAAAAACATTAATTGGCTGTGAATAAAATTCATAATTCCATATCAATTTTTTACCTGTTTTGTTCTATTTATGTATACAGAAACAACTTTCCAATGAAGATCGCCTGAAAATAAAAAATGAGAATCGAAATTAAAAAAATTGATATAACAACATGGTGTATTTAAGAACTCCTTAAACATGAACTAAATTGTAAGGATTTTAAAGATATTAACAAACCTTTGCGAGTACGTTTAAGCAATTCGCAACCTTTAGCTAGCAACTCTCTACTACAAATTCCAAGGAAATTATCTTCCGGAGCTAAATCGCCTCGGTAACCACCGCCTTTTGGTATCCCCTTCTCCACCGGAATCACCGCCGCAATGTTCCATACCTCCTTCAATGCCCTCGCCTTCAACGTCGCAGCTCCTCTCAACGCTACGCACATTAACAAGAAAAAAAGGGTTAACCAAGAATTAATACATTTCACAAACTCATGATGCTATAGAACTTGGTTTCATATTCGACTATTTCTAGTGCAATTTTGATCATAACTAGCCATTATGATATTCCAAATAGCAAAAATAATGATTAGTCTAGAATCCAGCTCAAAATCATCCGATTAATCAAAAAGAAAACTAATACATTTTCATTAACAAAAATAAAAAGAAAACTAATACACTTTCCTTAAAATTTGTATGATTAATATTTTTCTTCCGGTGCAACAAAAATGATATGATCATATGACACTAGAACAATACCTGTGGCTGCGGCGGCGGTCAACGTCATGATGTCTCCGGCGGAACGAACGTTGACCGCAGAACTAACAACGGAGGCCAAGTGCTCGCGATCGGCTCCCATAATCTCTGCGGCTTCAACACACTGAGCCGCCACCAAAGTCGCGGCCGAAGCCACCGCCGAGTCAGTTTTGGCCACTTGCTCGTCGTTTCCTGAACTCGACTGAGAGGCGGTGGCTACAGCGATCGCAGCCACTGCGGCGGCCACGCCAGCTACAGATACAGCAGCGTGGAGCTGTGCATTTTGTGCACGTGTCTCCTCTCTTTTCTTTTCCCTCCGGTCTTTCAGCCACCGGCCAACAGGTTTGGATCCTCCGGCGACGCCAGAGCCGGTGGATGGACCACGTATGTGCCCATTAAATGATGGGCTTACACGGTAGAATTGCTGGACCAATATATTAAAAATTAGTACACGTTAAACAAAAATGGTCCTAATGGTCCTAAACGATTATGATCAAAGGATTACACGATTTTCTTAATTAAAAAAGGGGCTCTTAAGAAAATGAAAAAATATTTCTTTTTTTGCCGAATCTCATTGTTGAAAGCTGAAACGAGTAGATTAATATTTTTTGTTGTCTATTTTCAAGAATTTATATAAATTATTTTCTATAATGAAAGGCTGTCGAAAAAAGACCGTATGAACATAAGCCAGCCTATATTTGGTCCTAAATCGTAAATGCTAAACAACTATTTTATCCTAATTAAATAAATCAAACGCGTTTTTTCAATAACATTTTCCTGCTTGTAATTTGGTATTTCATAAGTTAAAAAAATATGATGTCGAGGAAAGTCGACCATTGTGAATATAGGCCACCCCATATTTGGGTCCAAAACCATAAATGCTAAACTACAACTACCTATATTTTTCCTAAATAAATACAAAATTGAACAACTTTTTCTATCAATATTAGTAACATAAAAATTTTTTTTTTAAAAAAGGATAAGACAGATAAACTAGTACTGCTCAACTTCTAGAGATTTGACAGAGAAAATGCTTTGGAGGAAGAGAAAGCCTGAGCATTGTGTTCCTCTGTTTTTCTTACTCTACTGCTTCTCCTTAACACTTTAGCCTTTTTGTTTTGTCAACGTGTTTTACTAATTTTCAGCATAGACCCAGTTTTTCGACCCATCTCACAGATTTAACCCATTTTATCTTATTTTTCATACACTAGTCCAACATTTAACAAATCATTGATTCAGAAGTTCGAGAACAGACCCACTGATTAAGGAATAATTTTTCTTGACAAAGAAAATCCTCTTTCCATTAGATTTTGGATTCCGGTTTAGTTTTTCAAGAACTGGTTCAAGAATTTAACTAACCTTAAAGTCGTCAATGTCGGAGGGAGAGATCGGAGGACTGTCGGTGAAAGAGCTATGTGAAAGTCTCCCTGAGGTCCGTGGCGATGAAATCTCCGGCTGCCACCAAAAAAAAAAAATCTTATTTTTAGTAAAGAAAATCTTATTTTTTAAAAGACAAAAGCTTGAAAATGTATGAAATTTCTGATACCATCTTAATAAATAACATAGAATAGTAGTATTTGTTACCAAGAATTCTAGATTTTCACAGCAAACAATTAAGTAATTAATAAAGGAAACAAATTGATTTATTTCTTCATAATGGCGACATTTTGGAAGTGAATACTTACAGACTGAGCCATGATACGTTCCATGACCATTAAAGAGGTCTCAGAGGAAGCGAAAGAGAATGCGTTCCCAGAAACGACGCAGTTTTCGTCATCATCTTGCTGCGGTACCAACGTGACGTCAGAAACGCTTTGGTTATCGGAGAAACGCATTTGGGGCGGTTGAGAAGTCGGAGACGCGACGACGGCTCTGGAAACTTCAGTTGCGGAAGCGCTCCACGTGCGTGACAAAAACTCCATGGAATCTAACGGCGTTTCAGGCGGTTTAAACGCCGGATTAAACCTCCATTTTTCTCCATACATTTTACTTTTATCCATGTTTAGAGAGAGAGAGAGGGAGAGAGAGAGTTTAAGAGAATGGGGAAGTTAAGTGAAGCTTTCGTGGTATTTAAAAGCGGACACGAGATATTTGAGGTAAATTTTAGCTGCAATAATCGTACGGTTGGATTAGATTGTTGTGTGAGATTAAAACGTGGAATTATCTTATTGGATGAGTTTAAAGTTCTTTAGTTTCAGTTCCTACAGACTACTACAGTACTACTTTCCGGCGGTTCTTAATTAACTCCGAGTTCGGCTTAAAAATGGAAAACAAAAAATCAATGGATTAGTAATTAGTTAGTAACTAGTTAAATGACATGCTAATAAATTAGTTGTAGACTACAGTCTAAATCCCTCTAAATTATTTTGTTCTTCCAACCATATCTTTTTAAGTTTTATTCCTTTTAAATATGATAGACTAAATGGTATTTTGATATTTAAAAGTAAAAAATATATAAATTCATGACAAAATTCATATTTCTCCAACACCTTAAACTGCATATGCTAAAACCTTCTCATAGTTTTGATCAATATATATATATATATATATAACATGAAAAATTATGACCCAATAATTAATTTTACTGATTAGGATTACCATTTCAATATAAATTCATGTTCATAATACTATTGCATATGGGAAGAATGATGATGTGATCACGAGCTCTAATCTTGGTATGAACCAATGTATTTAAATCTATTAGGGGCCAACCACTAAAACTAAATCACCGGTTATTAGCGAAATTTTCGAGTTTTACCGTTATATATCTAGAAAATTTTATCATTGTATTCGAACCATTTTTGTTACCGGATCACAATTTAATCGGTCGAACCGAGTAAGGCCTTACTACATTGTGGTATAACATAGAGGAAAATACTCTCGAGCCTATTTTTTTTTGCTTTTCGACGTTCAGATTTGGAGCCTACATGGATCTGAAACTCGAGATAAGAAGCAAAAAAAAATTACATAAAATTAATAATATATAGTGGGGGAGTGGAATAACCAATAATGTGCACGTGGAGGCGTGACTGGGCACGTCATCATATGAAACCGCAAATCTAATGTTTGTAAGGTTGTGTTGTGTCCGTGACAAGTCAGAACACTCTTCAGACTTCACTCTTCACCACCTTCTTCTCCTTTCAGCTTTTTGTCTCTTCTTTATTTTCCATTTTTTTTTTCATTTATACGACCAACATTTGAGACTATTTCTAAATTGATCGCACACTTAAACTTTTCATAGTGTAGGCTTCTATCAATATTTTATGAATTGTATTGTATTAACCTAAGGTTATTCATTAGAGCTTTAATCATGTCGTACACGAGTTTTGGACCCAAAAAAAGAAGAAAACAAAAATACAAATTTGATGTTGGTGGTTCAATGAGTTTCATCTAATGAACCTTGTAATAGAGAGGAAGAACATTTTAAACTTTTCTTTTGTCGTTACATCGTTAGAAAAATGTATTACTTAATTTATAAAATATTGCAAATTATGATTCTATATTCACAATGAACTAATCAATCATCTTAGCAATTGGAAGAATAGCGAACGATTCATTAAATCTACGATTAATAGTTCTACTTTAACACATAAACTACAAAAATGTCTCTACATACACAATGCTGGACCATGAAAAACAGATTTTTAACAAAATGTTTTTATTAAACTATATTATCTTACGTTTTGTTAGATTACAATCCTACACTTTATAATGTAGAAACATTAATTAATCGTTGCTCAAACTACTATACAAGGAAGCTTCCACTATTAAACTTTTTTAGATATCATATAGATAAGCAACTAAATTAACTTAATATTGCATTTTAATTCGTCAAAATTTTGATTTATGTAGGTAATATATAGATAAGACTTTATACATTGAACAACATAAATATATGTAAGGATATATAAAAAAAAATAGTAGAATCACTTCATCTTTCTATCGAACTTTAGTTTTGTAAGTCGTCCTCTACTTGTTACATGGGACACACCCAACAAAATTTCTCGTGCGTTTAGTAACGGGAAGTTCTTACTTTTTGATATCTTTGAAGAATATAAACACTGTCTTGGTCTTGAAGAAAAGATTAGATAAATATTTTTATAAGAAGATATGTCATACTCACAAAATAATTACTTATTAATGTGGACAAACCATGAGAATGTTTGCAGCCGAAGGTTACTAAACCCAACTAAAGCTCTTTAGCCTTTTCGACACGCGGGTTCACATTCAAGTTTCAACTTTCAACTCATAGGTGTATATCACATTTTTTAATTGACCAAAAAGTGCTTATTATTTTTAACAAAAAGAGGTACTTATTAGTATCACAATTTAAGTACATGCCAAAATGTGAAATCAACATCAACTCATAGATTTTTTTTATTTTTTATGTTTTTAACAACAAATTCACAAATTATAAAGTTTCAAAAAAACAGAGTCTCAAATGATAAAACTAAGCATATGTATTCTGTTAAAATATCTGTAGTATATTTTACTATGAAGAAGATAACAGAGGGATTTATCTATGACTTAAAACTTTCTACTGTAACAAAAATTGTAAGTTCGGATTTTGGGGTTTAAACATTAACATATTTAGGAAAACATTAGTTATATATATACGAAATAAATCATGTGATTACAATACAAAAATATGATAAATTAGGTAGAGGTGAGAACTATTTGAATCTTTGGTTGATATAAAAGAGAATTATTTGAAAATTTGATAGATAAAAGTGAAAATATATTGGAGAGTTAATTTTTCACTCTTGGTTAGTTTGTTTTGATATAATAACAAAAGTGACATCTGCCTAAGTAATAAATAAGCATCAATAATTAAGTAGCGACCCCAAAATCAGTACCAAGTTATCTAACTTATTTTTGTTGTTATTTTTGTAAAGGATACACAAATAACATGTTCCCTTCATTTGAGGTAATGAGAGGATATAAAAGACAAGAGAAGGTGTCCATGTACGAGGGTGTTGGTAGATATCCTTGTCATCATCAATTTTGTCTTTAAACAAAATAGGATACTGCTTATATATATTCCGATCGATGACACATAGTGTTAAATGAATAAAAAATGTCTAATAAACAAATTGATCTTAAGGTTAAAAAAATAATCAAATATATATAACCTATTTTTTAATATTTGAGAAACTAGCTTCTCAACTATGAATTTCTCAATAATGATTTAAATTTTTAGTTATTTTATAGCATGCTATGTTTGACATCACTACCTTGGATCCTTTTGGATCTTGCCAAATCTAAGAGACATTAATAGTTGTCAAGCTAGTGATGTGAGGAGTCTATAAGAAAGTCTATTACCTGAGCATAGGACAATTATACATATTATAGATCCATAGGTAATTTGCATTCTTCGCGTAAGCAATTAAGGCCGTAAATTCAAGTAGAGGAGGCTTGGATAAAGCCTGATAAAATAGAGCAAAGACACATTATTGATTGTCTAGATACATATCCCATAGAAAAATGGATGAAACTGAAAGAGTTTATGTTTGAACGTCCCACCCTCTAGGAGCTACATATATTGGACACCAACTAATTCAGCTGTTGAGATTTTTGAAATATTTAAGGCAGCAATCTATGCTTGGTCCACTTCCCTTCAAGGCCGGCACAGGTCACATAAACTCAATTTTTCACTTGACCAAAAGAGCTTGGAAATGAAAGAACTTATAAAACACGTTACATTAGAGTTTTATTTTATGTTTGTTTTCTTGAGTCTTAACAAAGGTAGGGGTTGTTAGAGAGGTCGAGATCTAGGGTTTGTGTACTCTAGAGAGTAGAGACTCAATGTAGGGATCGATAAATTTTTTTTTTTTACTTGAACTTCCTTTTCATTAATAAAAACCGAAGACAGATGATTCCCCGCAGGGTTACAGCACAAATCAACAGGCCAGAGATCAAGTGGCCCGGATATAAAAATGAAGATATAGCTAAGCTAACATCTCACACTACAAAAAAAATGATTATTGTTATAATTTTTTATGTAACAATAGATATATATTTCGTCACCAACTTTTTATTGTGATGAAAATATTACAATTTACAAAACATCACAATAAAATCGTCACAATTTCATATCCATTACAAAAACGTAACAACAGTTTATGACGAATAAGAATAGTAACAATTCGTAACATTTTGTGATGATCTTGAAACAATTACAAAAACGAAACTAATTGTAACGAATAAGAATGGTAACAATTTGTAACATTTTGTGATAATTTTAACAGTTACAAAAACAACACAATTCATGTCGAAAAATACTGTTACAATTACGTAACAAATTGTAACAAAAAATTATCACATATTTGTAATAAATTATTACTATATTTAAATCACAAAATCATCATAAATTGTGACCAAAATAGTTTTTAAACACCGTTACAATTAGTGACTAAATTAAAGTCACAAAAATATCATAATTTAGTGACTAATATTATCACAACTACGCCACAGATTGTGAAAAAAAAAATAAACACATAATTGTCACAAATTGTACTTGTATTATAACGTTTTTTGTTTATTATCACAAAATTATAAAATATTTTTAATTTAATTATTGCTATATTTTTTATATAATAAATAATATACAATACAATATTAAAAAAATATATAATAAGCAACTGATAATATTAATTAACCATCCACCATCCGAAACAAACTTACACAAACCAACTTAAAGGAAAAAGTAGTCCTAATAAACAAAGTTACACAAACGAAACTTAAAGGAAATAGTCCTAATAGAATATGAAAAAAAAACAATCCTAAAGATAAGTAGAAAGAACTTGATAAAAAACAGACTAAACAATACTAAAAAGATTAAACATTGCGTGACTTGCTTGGTAGTAGAAGTGGAGTGAATTTGCTTGGTAGTGGAAGTGGTAAAGTTTGATCTATGCATTCTGATTTGCAAGAGACTGAAGAATTTTTTCCATAGCTTCAAGCCTTTTCTGAATTTTCTGGTTTTCTTCATGGCTCTGTCTT